AACTTCATATATTCATTGTATCTCATCATAGGATATGTTACCCATTTTGTATCAACTTTAGATTTTAAACTCTAGAACTGTATTGTTAAGGTGTTTTTGCAATAAAATTAAATGTTTGAAAGATATTTTTTACTTTTTTTAACCTAGCTGCTTTGATAGTCCTAGGGGGGAGGGGGACTACCTATTTTTACAATTACAACTAAAGGGGTCATGAAATTTATAATTCTTATAGAGCAGGGTCAGGATATTTTGTTTAGTCTCACTGAAAATCTTGCCAGCCCACCCCCTCCTATAACAATGAATGCTCCCTTAGGTTATCTGAACCTTGATGTTGAACTCGATCAATGTTGATTCGATACAAGTTAATTCTGGAGGAGACTTTAGCACTTTCAAAGCACATGATCCAAAACTCAGAGCCAGTGATGACAGGTGGGCAGCTTCATTTTCCTAATACGTCCCACCGGGACAAGAGGAATATCTGCTGTTTCGTTTGAGCAGAATTCCGGAATGCCTAAAAAAAAATTTAACTATTTCTTCTCTCCAGTGGGAAAAATCGCGACAGAAGAATTCCTCATTATTTCTTCCATCGGGATCCTTAACGTTATTGGCAAAAGTTAACGCTATCACAGCATTTTTCCACAAGTCCTTTCCAAACTTCCGGGTGAGAGCGTGAATGGCATTTTCTTCAGATTTAAGAAAACGCTTGTCGTCCATCTTGATACAGTATATCATAACATCGAGGTCTTCATGAAGCTGCTTTTCCATGTCTTCGAGATACTTTTCTTCGTCAAATGAACCATCCTGTAGGCCTGGAGAATCCCACAAAACAACCCCAATGTCGTTTTTGAGTTTTCGCTGGACCTTCGATGGCCACGCCACTTTTACCAGAAACAAGAATGCAAAGTTTGTCGACGTCGTCCTTGCCCTTCCTAGAAACCCACTTTTTAAATTCATCTTTCATAATTAGACAGTTTAACTGCCATCATTGAACCAAAGACGTGTAGGGTTTGAAAGGATGATCCATTTTGTGACTGGAAGTGGTACTCCTGTGGATGTGGGACCGTAGCATAAGCCCATGGAAGTGAGACTGGAAGTGGTATTCCTGTGGATGAGGGACCGTAGCATAAGCCCATGGAAGTGAGACTGGAAGTAGTATCCCTGTGGATGAGGGACCGTACCATAAGCCCATGGAAGTGAGACTGGAAGTGGTATCCCTGTGGATGAGGGACCGTAGCATAAGCCCATGGAAGTGAGACTGGAAGTGGTATCCCTGTGGATGAGGGACCGTAGCATAAGCCCATGGAAGTGAGACTGGAAGTGGTATCCCTGTGGATGAGGGACCGTAGCATAAGCCCACGGTAGTGAGACCTGTGGAAGAGGGACCGTAGCAGAAGTCCACACCAGTTTGTAACCTGGTTCAAGCTAGTTCCTACTCACATTTGGCAAGGGTTGTCCACACCACGCTCGATGCTTAAATAGCATCACTTTTTATCTGAATGATTAACTTAAAAAGCAATAGACAACATAGGATGTTAGGAGAACAAGATAAAGTATGCAAGTTTGCGCCAGAGGCAAGAGATTTAAAACTTTTCTCGTGTAAGGCATCCCTCGTTCGTGTATAGCATATTTTTAACACCCATTTGATCAATCAGGTCTCAAAGAGGCTCTAAGACTAGGGAGGTTGAAATATGTAAGGCTGCCCAAAGGCCTCGGGTTAATTAGCTGCTGGGGCAAATATTACTTATGAAGGAACAAATTCAAGAATCGACTTTACGACAGTTTACGAATCTTCCATACTCATAGTAACGGCTTAAATGGTGAAAAAAAATTTTTAACAACATTGATATTTATGTTGTTTGTTTGGTTTTTTTTTGCGTAGGAAAATGAAACTCCATCAAGAAACAAACCGTACAGATTCTGATAAGGGAGAAAAAAAACCAACCTTTGTAGAAATCTGACAACGACATGTCAATTTAATGCGACAATCATAGTTACATACAGGCAGTTTGCTGAAAGAATGTTTAAAATCTGCTTTCCCAAAAACAAGCATAACTTTAAATCTCAGTTTATTTCCACAACTGGTTACATGTGTACTTTGATAGACAAATAATTTATATTTTATACATTTGTATTTGCTCTAATGTACAAAACAATCCTCTTTCACGAACAAGTAGTCCTTCTTGGGTTGTATGAATGAAACCAGTCTTCCAAAGGAGATTTCTTCAGCGAACAAGTAAAGCCACGGAATTTAACGAAGCAAAAATGTGCAACGGAAAACCTGACAAAAGTTTTTTTTTTTTTTATCAATAGGTATTTTTTTTCTGGGAGAAGGCCGAAAGTTACCACCGTTAATGAGACTAAACTAAACCCCTGTAATTGCAACTGGAGCACCAATCTTCTATAGCAAACAGTAAAAGTAGCAAGCTTTATACCCTTAGTTTTGCTTTCAAAAAGGGTTCTTCCTCTTTCCTCCTGGCTTGCCAGACAGCCATCCTGGAAGTTTTCTCGCTGTTTCCTGAGAATGCGTAGCTGGCTTACTTGGGGTATTTCTCAGTTGGGTGCCCGATGCGAAAGACCTATCGCTCATTGTTTGCGCTGAAGTGCCATGAGAGATCGCGCCACATGACAGCTCCAAAATGGCGATGACCAGTTTAATATGGCCATAGGACACATGAAGAGGCAAGCGATCTTTTATGGTTGATAATCTGCTTATGTCTGCAAAAAGGGAAATATGCACATATTAAAATGATATTCGTACGAGCCTTCTAAAAATAATATCCATATCTAAAAAACTTTCAAGAAATAGAAAAAGGCATTCTGACAATATCATGGTACTCCACAGTGACCCCAGGCCTGGGCTCTGACCGAACATGTTTCATATGGGATCTACGGTGCTGACCAAGTGGCAAAGCGGGCGACAGGAGAGGGGTTCCAAGGGTGCATGCGACTTCCCCTCTTTGTCCTTGAAATAGTGGCAATCAAAAATTGAAAGAAAGCAAAAAACCTCCATTTTTCTAGCTTTCAGAAATGTCAGTAAAGGATCCACTTCCCCTACCCAAGACTGTGTCCCCGTGGGCAAACCCACCTCCCCCACTCAAGCCTGTGGGCAAACCCACCCCCACCTCCCCAGCATGTGCCCATGTGAACCAACATGCCTCTCAGCTTTTAATACCACATAATTACGCCTAAAAACAATAGCCAAAAGATGATGTTACCTGAGTTAATTGGAGGCGATCTGATTGTTCTTGTTACCAGTTCTTGGATTTCTTCAGTGATTCCCGCTACACAAAATGAAAGGTAAAGCATCCCTGTTAGACAATTTAGTGATGACTGCAATGAGAGAGATTGAAATAGGATGGCCAACTTTCATACCAGCAAATAACAAAGGGAAGGAGAAATGGAAAGCGTGAGCCGGGGGCTATTTTGTTATCACGACAGCCCATTTGTCCCCGCCTTTACCCATAAATAAATTATCCTCACCCCTCTTATAGTCCACTGGGTAATTTGCCTTCAAAGCCTCCGCAAGATGGCCAAAAATTGTTCCTTCCACCATGTTCCGAGTTTTAGCCACATCTTTCTGTAAGAAATGTTGTATATTGAAGAGGCCTTGTCATATTAGTTACAAGATGATGTCAAATGCAGTATCCGCATCGCTAAAAAGAAACTCCAATGAAGAAGTGACATAGAGGAAGATGAAAATTGGGAAAAAAGTACAAAACTCCGACCGAGCTCAAGAAAGCAAGACAGTCTTTGCCTTCATCAAGCATCAAATTATAGAAATCTCGAGCTCATAATCCCACCTTCTATCGGTTTGCCAGCGAGTGATTTTCATATCCCACGTGAGTTGTTACGCTGGTAAACCGATGTAGAGTGCGGTCTATCGATTTTAAAAAATAACTGTGGGTTTACCAGTGCTGATAAATGTAACGTTTTTGACCAATCAGGGAGCTCGTTAGATCTCAGTTCTTAGATAAAAACCAATCAAACAAACAAAATAGTAAACCTACATGACAATCATCAATGTCAAAACCAGGAAGTTAGACACTAGGTGTATTGTCATGGGTGGAGCCTTCCGTTCATTTTATTTTGAGAGGAGGGATGTTGTCTGAAAAGATGAGCTCATACTCTCGGAGACTAAACAACAAGCTGCGAATGGAAAATGACTAGGAACAAAGACTGGACTCAAGAGAGAGTCGGAAATTGAATCTACTATTGACGCAGCGTATCGAATTCAGTACTTACAATGGTCATCTGTTTTTCGTGAAACATGTTGAAGGTGGTAAGCACTGTTTGGCTCAGTTCGTGACGAGGTGCTCCCAAAGGTTCCACCACATAGGTCTGGGACTGAGTAGTAAAGATTGCAAGGTGATCACTATATCTAAACCTCAGCAATATAATACAAGCTACAGCCAAACGGTTCTCTGAATACA